GGTCGTACCGATGGTTGTCCTCAACAGAGGCTACCGATGGTTGACCTCAACAGAGGCAACCGATGGTTGTACCGATGGTTGTCCTCAACAGAGGCAACCGATGGTTGTACCGATGGTTGTCCTCAACAGAGGCAACCGATGGTTGTCCTCAACAGAGGCAACCGATGGTTGTCCTCAACAGAGGCAACCGATGGTTGTCCTCAACAGAGGCTACCGATGGTTGACCTCAACAGAGGCAACCGATGGTTGTACCGATGGTTGTCCTCAACAGAGGCAACAGATGGTTGTCCTCAACAGAGGCAACCGATGGTTGTCCTCAACAGAGGCTACCGATGGTTGACCTCAACAGAGGCAACCGATGGTTGTACCGATGGTTGTCCTCAACAGAGGCAACCGATGGTTGTACCGATGATTGTCCTCAACAGAGGCAACCGATGGTTATCCTCAACAGAGGCAACCGATGGTCGTACCGATGGTTGTCCTCAACAGAGGCAACCGATGGTTGTCCTCAACAGAGGCTACCGATGGTTGACCTCAACAGAGGCAATTGATGGTTGTACCGATGGTTGTCCTCAACAGAGGCAACCGATGGTTGTCCTCAACAGAGGCAACCGATGGTTGTCCTCAACAGAGGCTACCGATGGTTGACCTCAACAGAGGCAACCGATGGTTGTACCGATGGTTGTCCTCAACAGAGGCAACCGATGGTTGTCCTCAACAGAGGCAACCGATGGTTGTCCTCAACAGAGGCAACCGATTGTTGTACCGATGGTTGTCCTCAACAGAGGCTACCGATTGTTATCAACAGAGGCAACCGATGGTTGTCCTCAACAGAGGCAACCGATGGCTGTCCTCAACAGAGGCAACCGATGGTTATCCTCAACAGAGGCAACCGATGGTCGTACCGATGGTTGTCCTCAACAGAGGCAACCGATGGTTATCCTCAACAGAGGCAACCGATGGTCGTACCGATGGTTGTCCTCAACAGAGGCAACAGATGGTTGGTACGATGGTTGTCCTCAACAGAGGCAACCGATGGTTATCCTCAACAGAGGCAACCGATGGTTGTACCGATGGTTGTCCTCAATAGAGGCAACTGGTTGTCCTCAACAGAGGCTACCGATGGTTGTCCGCAACAGAGGCAACCGATGGTTATCCCCAACAGAGGCTACCGATGGTTATCCTCAACAGAGGCAACCGATGGTTGTCCTCAACTGAGGCAACTGATGGTTGTACCAATGGTTGTCCTCAACAGAGGCAACCGATGGTTGTACCGATGGTTGTCCTCAACAGAGGCAACCGATGGTTATCCTCAACAGAGGCAACCGATGGTCGTACCGATGGTTGTCCTCAACAGAGGCAACCGATGGTTATCCTCAACAGAGGCAACCGATGGTCGTACCGATGGTTGTCCTCAACAGAGGCAACAGATGGTTGGTACGATGGTTGTCCTCAACAGAGGCAACCGATGGTTATCCTCAACAGAGGCAACCGATGGTCGTACCGATGGTTGTCCTCAACAGAGGCAACCGATGGTTATCCTCAACAGAGGCAACCGATGGTCGTACCGATGGTTGTCCTCAACAGAGGCAACCGATGGTTGTCCTCAACAGAGGCTACCGATGGTTGACCTCAACAGAGGCAACCGATGGTTGTACCGATGGTTGTCCTCAACAGAGGCAACCGATGGTTGTCCTCAACAGAGGCAACCGATGGTTGTCCTCAACAGAGGCTACCGATGGTTGACCTCAACAGAGGCAACCGATGGTTGTACCGATGGTTGTCCTCAACAGAGGCAACCGATGGTTGTCCTCAACAGAGGCAACCGATGGTTGTCCTCAACAGAGGCAACCGATTGTTGTACCGATGGTTGTCCTCAACAGAGGCTACCGATGGTTATCCTCAACAGAGGCAACCGATGGTTGTCCTCAACAGAGGCTACCGATGGTTATCCTCAACAGAGGCTACCGATGGTTATCCTCAACAGAGGCAACCGATGGTTGTCCTCAAAAGAGGCAACCGATGGTCGTACCGATGGTTGTCCTCAACAGAGGCTACCGATTGTTATCAACAGAGGCAACCGATGGTTGTCCTCAACAGAGGCAACCGATGGTTGTCCTCAACAGAGGTGTGAAGCGCGAATAAAATTCAAAGTCAAAAGTGCAAGTCACTAGCCATCGGCGGGAGGCGGAGCTTTAGAGAGTCGGAGTTGGAATGGCTCGGCTCTGGAGAGCGGCCTCCTCTCCCCTGTGGCTGCGCGCTTCCCGTCTGGACCCTCGTGAGTGAATGTTGTTTTGAAGTATGTCCTCTGTTATTGTGGTGTTTAATGTGCCTAATCATGTACTTGCTTTGCAATTTCCCATATTCTTTCTTTAATGTGCTTTATATGTTTATTCCGCATTGCTTTTGCTGCTTATAGATAAAGGTGTGGTTAAAAGATTCTTAGTTTTGAAGAGTAGGAACGGAGATGTAAAGGATCGGAGTTGCGTATGAGTATCAACAATGTCGGCGCCCGCTTGCACATAAAATTAAAGTCTACACTTCGAAATCGCGGGCGTTATATGGAGGTTCCGGCGAGATACGAGAATCGGTAAGATGGCGGAAACCAGCGGGATGACGAATCGGAAAGATCGCGGAAATTTGTGGACTCACGGTGGCGAGATCATGGAATTTATGAGCTACGAAAATTGGAGAGATAACAACATCGGCGAAATTGTTGGAAACAGTGAGAAGAAGGTTTCGAGTGAGAGACACGAGATAGAAGTACTACCAATGCATGATAGCTTTTGCAATGGCGCCACGCAAAATCTATCATATTTTCTCGTTGTCTTACATTTGTATTTGGGTTATGCTATCCTTGGCTGTGCATACGATCACCGCTTCTGCTTTTGCATGCTTAGTAAGTTTCAGCTAATAATCGGCAAGATGACAGTCACACTCGCTCATTTTTTTAACCGCGAAGGAAGAAAATGCCGAAAGAATAGTGGAAAGGAAACAAATATAAGTGACTGGGAGGAAAACTCCGACGGGTAACGTAGAGAGCGAGGAAAAAAAAACCCTGCGCAGGTGACGCTCAACTTCGCGGATAAAGTTAGCAAATTAATGTTTTGAGCGTTCCAGAAAATGTATTTAATGTGTTTTATCGCTTTGCTTTGCTTGCTGTTTATGTTTTTGTGATCGTATGTTCAGATTTCTGGAAGAAACAGGTGAAGGTACGCAATTGTTCTACGTCTGAGCTGTAATGGTAACGTTTAGTCTTTACCCATTCTCTCAAGTGTGCAAAATTTGCAGCGATTGCAGGAGTGCAAGCTCATTCATTGTGGTTGCGAAAGTTCGACTTGCAAAACAGAAAGTGCAAGTTAGTGCCGCGCCCTCTGAGTTATGGCATCGTAAACCTGACATTTGTGAATTATTGCCCATAGACCTTAGGTGTAAAGCAGTTTCGCTGCAAAGATGCTTATCGTAACTGATTTGTTTCCGCTCGCCGCTCGTGCACTTTTAACCTCGCTGCAATGAATCGTAGACTCCGAAATTTATGTGGCCTCGGGCTCCCCTCATTATTCTTTCCATTTTGTACTTTTGCACAAATGCTCTTTTAAGTTTGAAGGAGGAGCCTTTGCTCCTTACTCGCAATTCCGATCGTGCCCCGTGCGGTAGGTTTTAATCTGATATATAGTAGTGTACGTAAGAGCCTTCAAAATTGTCGCTCCGCTTTTATGTGTTTAGGTTAGAAGCCAACTATCAAACTCTCATCCTCTGGTGCGCTCAATTTCAACTCAAGTTTCCATCCCCTCCTTCAACTTCCAGTAATAGGAGGTGAGTCTTTTGTATTAGTATTGATATTGGTTAGTTTTCTCTCTCAAGTTTTCACAGAGTGATATTATTGTGTAGTCCAAAACCTGAACTTGTTTTGAAACTGAGTTTCTCTGAAAATATTATTCTCTCATTTTTCTCTCTTCTTCAATTTCTTATTACTTTTGTGTAAGAAATCCATAATATTCATATCTTTCTTTTTTCCTTACTCTCTCTCCTTCTCTCTCTTAACACTGCTGTCCAAGTTCCAATCCCCCGAGACCCGTAAGTTCATCTTGGTGCAATCTCCATCCAAACTGGAAACTAAGAAACTTACGGAGCGTGAGAAACGACTTTTGGAAAGGCAGAAGAAGACTGAACAGCGAGGTCGTCCATCCACAAGTTCTTGGACTCCAGAGAAAAAGGAAGGAGAGCCAGAATCACCGAGACGATCCACCAGTGCTGAGCCACCTCCAGAGAGAAAAGACTACAAAGGAACGAAAAGCACATCCTCCAAATCTACGCAATCAACAATGGAAGCAAACAATGATCAACTGAGTCTATATCAGACATGCAGGCTTTTGGGTGATAGACTCGTCAAGTTCTCAGGCATAGGAGACCGTACATTTGAGGAGTTTCTGGAAGAGTACAGAGATCTCATCGAACGCCTTCGTATTCCGCACCCTAAGGCCAAAATCCTGTTGCCTATGTATCTTACTGGACCGGCGCGTATTAAATACAATAACATCGAAAATGTGCAGAACCTTGACTGGGAGACTCTTGTCACTACTTTGGCGAAGAAATTCAAGAACGACGCCTACTTGAGTAATCTGCGTGACGAACTTCATAACATCACTCAAGGAAAAGATAGTGTCGCCGAATTTGCGCAGAAGGTCTACAACAAGTGCAAATTCGCTTTTCAAGGCATGGATAAGGATTTGACGAATCAGATGGCTATAGACTTCTTCATCAAAGGCCTCAACCCACAGATCCGTAAGGCCATGCGACGTCTCCCAGAAGCAAAAGATTTTGATGCCGTTGTTGCCGCAGCTGAGAAAGAACATCGCATACTTCAGCAGGAAATGCACGAAGACCGAGATACGATCCACGCGATTAATGCCATCATCGCTGATGATAAGCTCGACCGACTGGAACGTGAGCTGAATACGCTTAAGATTCAACAAGCTCGCAGGCCTACAGCTTCTCAAATGCGCGGAAGAGGGAACTTCAGAGAAAGCTCAAGACCCTTTCCCTCGGGATACAACTTCTATAACCGGCCGCGCGGAACGACTTATCCGAACAGGAGAAGGCCCTTCAGAGGCAGGCCACGTGGTGGACCATATTGGCAAGGATCCTTCCGCAATCCACCTTACAACCCGGAGATGCCGACCACAAGCACATATCCATATCCGACACCTGCTGAATCCAATCCTCGACAGCTATTCAATGCATCCCATCTACTGTGTATCGTCGCCATAACTATGATGTCGCTCACCGCATTGGCATCAGCTCAGTCATATCAGGTCTGTGGCACTAACCCATCTGCCAATATCATTGCTCTCCCTGTGCCAGTGAATTGTACAGTATCGTCAGAGGAACCTCTAATGCGCATGCCAGTCCGTCTTTACACCGAAACAGATGAACCACTGCGCGTAAATGCGACAAAGTGTTATCGCGATGTCGTCAAAGTGGCAATTACAAACTTTCTTTATATACGAACAAAAAGAGAGATTGTCGAGCGTTTCCGTCTTTCGGTTACCCGTGAATTGTGCGACCAGATGAGAGCGACTGGTAAAGCCCATGACCACGACCTGGAACAAATTTTGCCTGGATTCTATGCCACGAACGAAGTAGAAGACGATCAATATAGCCTACCTCTATGGGGAACGAACCATTATTTGCGCAGCATCTACACTCTTGAATATGGAGATCTTGCTTCGTTTGATGGAAAACGTGTTATAAGCTCCTTGGCCAACCTCCAGAATTGCACCCTGTCCGACGGCTTCTGTTTGCTGAAAGAAGAAACTATCATGTGGGAGCCTGTTAACAGTCCTTCACTATGCCCTTACAAGTTCGCTGGATCCTTCAATTCCTATGTCGCCGCCAAGTTCGCGTTAATTCCTCAGTCCGAACTAGCCTTTGAATTCTACTCGGATGCAACAGCTTATGCCGAGATAGCTGTAAGATGCGGCTTCTCAGGATTTTCACTAACCACTTCCCAACACGTCCTCATTTTCCCACAACTTCCTACTCATCTCTCTCTTCAACGATATATCTTGGAGGAAAGTTTACATCGCCGGGAAAAACGAGAAGTCCGATATATCACGGATTCAACAGGAGCGAGGTCATCATACGAGATGATTCCTAAACAATCAGAGCCCTTGATACGAAGACTTTTTGGTATTACGGAGTTAACACAGCTGCCATATTTCGCCACAACGCCTATAAAGGAACCAAGAATTATAAGAGAAATGGAGAAATGGAATGTCACCAACAGAGATTTCCAACTTCGTAGAAGACTCTATGCTGCTGAAGATCCGAGACTGACCGTGCTGCGTACGATACGATATGCCGAGTACAGATGGAAACAGCTACTCGAGTTTGAGAGAGTTCGCAAGACCAGGATGTTCACGTATGCAGAGTTTTCTACCCAACGAGACTTGCAGATGGGCATAAGTCCTATTTTTGATGATTATCTCGCTGAAGAATTCGGACCCGCTCGGATTGTAATTGGAAACAATACTTCCACCATCCCTATTCCTTTTTACACCATCATTACCTCACCTGTGGAAGATTTGCCACCAATACCAATCATTACAACTACGACGACGACGAGAGCCCCCACGACAAGAAGAACGACCACGTCGACTACAACGACAAAAAGTACCACTACTACTAAACATTACGATGAAGTCACTGATTACCCCGATGATTATGTTGCTGACGTCTTTCAATTTGATTCCACAAGTCAGCCGACTCAGGCACCTCCGACAACAACTACCCAGACTCCTCGACCTCGATCGACTCAGAAACCTTTACCAATCACCTTACCTGAAAGACCTCGGACGGCTCCAAGTTCCTCCACCAGAATCCCTCCAACTCAAGCTCCCAGCCAGTCCTTTCATCGAGTGCCTCCAAGACCTCTAGCAACTCCCTCTACACGACTTCCTATAAGACCTCCGTATTTGCCCGTCCAAACGGCGACGCTCCAAATCCAGACGCTTCAACGACCTCTACCTTCATCACCAAAGTCCACGACTACTGTCTCTCCAAACCCTTCGAAGAAAGCTCGTGAAGTGGATTCTTATTATCGAGAAACATATAATAATATTTGTAATCGGCAGTACCTCAACACCTTGCGAATTCGCACGTTCAGTACTGTAGAGCCGACATGGGCAGCAAGAGAACTTCTCCAGAGGAATGATGTAGTAGCAACGTTACAGGACAGTGAACTCTTCGTGACACGTTGCAGACCTGTGCATCCACAGAAGATTTTTGAAGACCACAGGGTGAATGACACCTGCTACGTGCTTACACCCGTACAAGCTGATGATGCTATATGGTTCGCTGAACCCGGAACTCAAGATCTGCTCCCTATATCGGCCACTACTCCCTGCCCATATTTACCTCAAAGGAGATCTCATCATCTTCAATACATATTGCCCCCAAATAACCTACAACCGGCTCATCTGTTCCTCTTCAATCCTCCTTCGGTTTACTCCCAGAGTCATGGATACTTCACACCGTTCGCGCGATTCTATCTCCAGGTCCTCGAACAAGACCAAGAGAATTTGGATAATCGACTTCAAAAACGAGGAATATTGGATGATGCCCTGGATAGGATCAGATCTGCCAAAACTTCACTGGGAAAATCTATTCACTCCATCTACCAAACGGCCACTGAGAAACTTTCGGCAGGCGTGAATCAAATCAAATGGTCTCTAATCTATTTCATCTTGTGGGTCTCTGTACCCATCGTCGTTGTTTTCATTCTGGTTTCCGCATGTGTGATTGGCTTCAAGTTGTACTTCGCCCGCAAAACAACCACAGCCGCAGCCTCCGCTATGATTGATCTCGCGAATACACTTACGCGGAAGAAGAGCAGACAGAGAGAAATCAATGCTATACCACAGGAAGAGATGGAGATAAGAGAAGAACGACTTTTCATACCACGTATTTATGCCATATCTACCAGGAAATCGCGCTTGCCTTACATTAAGATCCATCTTTCCGGCAAGCCAGTTACGGCATTGATAGACAGCGGTTCGGCCATTTCATGTATATCCGTATCCACTCTACGATCCCTCAACAAATCCCTGCCAGCTTCATCTAACCCATCTATTGCCCTCGCAGCCAACGGCACATCGATCACATTATTGGCACATGTGGAATTACCGGTCATCATAAATGGTCATGCAGTAAGCCACAACATGCATGTATTGAAGGATGAAGAGTGTCCAGCACCAGCCCTTCTAGGTTCAGACTTCCTTCAACGTCTCAATGAGCTAGGTCTGAAGGTAACACTGGACCTATACAAGCAGCAGCTTATAGTGGGAGACCAAACCCACAAATTAACCCAGCTCAATAGTATCATGCTGCCTCAGAACGTACCTTATCCCGTACGATTGGTCGAATCTGTTACTCTGCCTCCTCGGACTAACAACTTAGTATATGCCAGGATTGACGGATACTTTTCCACTATTCCAACTGATTTCTACATTGAAGACAATCACCGACCATCGGACGAGATTTTTATGATTGGAAGATCCCTTTTAACACCAACGCAGGATGGAAGATGCTTTGTCAACATCATGAACCCTACAGCTACCTCCGTCCTTCTCTACGCTTGCATGAACGTGGCTAATGCGATTCCTATGTATCCGACTGACTTCCAAATCTGCTGTATCCAACCATCCTCCTATATTCCCCCTGAGGCAGACTGGGAGAACTCAATGCCTCTTTATCCAAAAACCGGAAATCAATTTTATGATATCACCTCAGAAATCAATTTCTCACAATGTGCCTTGCCATCGAACTTGCTGGAACAACTCAAGGGAATCATTCGCAAGCATGCGAATGCCTTCGTCGGACCTGATGGGAACCTTGGACATTACAATGGACCAATTCGGCACCGGATCGATCTCATAGAAGGAAGCATCATACCAGCCCGAAAGATTTACCGAGTACCTTTGGAAAAGCGCATAGAAATACAAAAGCAAATAGCCCAGATGCTGAAAGATGGAATCATTCGAGAATCTACATCGCCCTTTTGTGCTCCCATTGTACTAGTTCGCAAACGAGATTCCAGCAGCTGGCGCTTCACCATCGACTTTCGTGGACTGAATGCAATCACCAAACCACAGCAATCAGTGCTTCCGAACATTCAAGATATTCTCGATCTGTGCGCAAATCAGTGTTTATACACTTCCTTGGATTTCCAACAAGGCTTTCATCAAATCCCCTTGGAAGAATCACACTGTGAAAGAACAGCCTTTGCGTGCTTCCTAGGCGCCTTCGAGTACCTGCGAATGCCCATGGGACTGAAGGGTGCACCAGCTACATTCCAACGGATAATGGAAGATTTCAAAAGGTATCTCAGAGCGAAAGTATTCATCTATATCGATGACCTTATCATCACCTCCGAGACACCCGAAGAACATCTGCAGGACATAGATGAAGTACTTGAAAAGATCGAAGCAATTGGAATGAAGCTCAAAGCGTCCAAATGCGAGTTCGGAAGAGAAGAGATCACATTCCTTGGATTTGTACTCAGCAAGGACGGAATTCGCCCAAATCCAGAGAAGACCAAGGCTATAGACCACTACCCAATACCAAGAAACGTCTCTGAAGTCAAAGCTTTTCTTGGAATGTGTTCGTTCTTTCGAAGATTTGTTTACAATTTCGCTGTAATTGCCGCTCCGTTGTTCGCTCTGACGAAGAAGAACACTAAGTTCCAATGGTCGAAGGAATGTCAACAAGCCATGGACGAACTCAAGAACGCGTTGACATCCGCACCAATCCTGGTTGCACCACGACTAGGACGTCCCTTTATTATTGAAACAGATAGTTCAGCCAAAGGAATAGCAGCTGTCCTTCGCCAGGAGCAAGATCAAGATCTCAAGGTCATCGCATATGTTAGCAGAGCTTTGAATAAACACGAATCTTCTTATCCGCCCATAGAACTTGAGGCTCTAGGAGTAACATTTGCAGTTCAGAAATTTCGTCCATATATAGATGGAGCCAAATGCACAGTGATTACCGATCATTCTCCGTTGAAAGCGTTGTTGCATCGAAAAGATCTTACAGGAAGACTGGCTAAATATCAAATCGTGCTTCAAGAATACGACATTGAGATAGTTTATCGCCCAGGGAAGAAGAACATCGTCTGTGACACGCTTTCTCGACACCTTCCTGAAGTCAATGCTGTAACGACATCACACGACGCCACTACTAGCTACCTAAATCCTCTTAAAGCAAGGAAGGAACAGGATGATTGCGAGTGGATAAGAAGCTATAAAGAAGCTCTAAGAGACAACTGTGATGTTCCCGAACTCACTGAGTATATTCTCATCAACGACATGCTCTACAAATTGCCCGAACGAATCTATCAAAATCCTCGATTAGTCTTACCCGAAGATTCTACGTTGAAGAATCACCTCGTAGCCCACGTCCATTCTTCTAATTATGGAATAGCACACTTGGGCATCAAGAAAACGTCAGCCGCAGTCTCTAAATTGGCCATATGGAATAACATGTACAAAACCATCCGTGATTATGTTACCAATTGTAAGATATGCCAAGACCGCAAGGACCCGAATGCATATCGTGTCAACGAGCCTCTTCATCAGTTTGAAACGCCAATTAGACCATGGCAGCGTGTGCACTCGGACGTGATTGGTCCTCTACCACTTACGCTGGAAGGAAACAAATTCATAATTGTTTTTGTTGACGCCTTTTCCAAATATATCATTGCGGAACCTATTCCCGATCAAAAAGCTGACACTTCCGCTGACGTCTTCATCAATCGTTGCGTCGCCAGATTTGGAACTCCCGAACTACTGGTAACCGATCAAGGCTCTAACTACATGAGTGAAACATTCAAGGAAGCTCTCAAGGTACTAAACATTGTGCACAAGACCAGCACGCCTTATCACCATGAGAGCAACGGACAAGTTGAAAGAGCGAACAGGACGATTCAGGAACTAATTTCAATGGCTACCAAAGATCATCCAGACCGATGGGACAATGTAATCCATATGACTATTTACGCCTACAATACCTCGAAGAACTCTACTACAAAGTACTCTCCATATACCGTTATCCATGGATGTGAACCTAACAACCCATTCCGTGCGGCCCTCCAACTACCTGCGAGAAAGTTCGTTGATGAAAATGACTATGCTAGCCAGCTGACTATGATCTTGAAGAATGTATGGCAGGACGTTCACCACAACATGGAAGAAGCCCAACAGGTCCAGAAACATCAATACGATCTCAGAAAAAGAACTTCACCAAAAAAATTTAAAATAGGACAAAAAGTACTTATAAGAAAACCAACAGGACATAAACTCGCACCTCGATTTGAAGGACCATTTGAAATAATCGACATCGATCGTCCCAACATCACCATCCGGGATGGACGACGCAGTCGCGAAGTTCACATGAATGGAGTCAAAATCTACAATGAAGCAGACATGACTGAAGGCCAAAACAATGTTTGAGGAACGCAAGCCACAGCTTTCCCCTATTCTCACCGCACCATAGAGCATCTTTTCTCATCACCACAAGATAGAAGCATAATAAAAAACAACTCACCAGCGACTACGTCTAAGGTACTTCAAACATCTCACACCACTTCGAAAGGATCGATGGCGACGGAAGAGCTATTTCCAGCGGCATTAGATGGATGGCAGCGGCTGGCAGCGGCAGCCGCCGCTGTCAAAACACGACAGTGGAAATGCGAGTAGATCAAAGCAAGGATAAACAATAAGAAGACCAAGGTCATTAAATGTAATACCCCTCACGCGCAGCTTATTGAACATCTCAGTGGGAAACCCGTCTAACGACAACAAGTCACATCTGGACCATGAGATTAAGGAAAAAAAGAAGAAGAAGAAAATTCTCGATTTAGTATTCAATTTAATAAATTTAGTATTGTAATTTTTCTTAAGGTAATAATATAATATCACTCTGTCTGTAGTGTAGTTTATTATAATTTTATTATTTGTATCTATTTATATGATTTAATTCTCATGAATATTTCTCAGATGTATCCCACGGAACCGCGTGTTGAATATTGCATCGAACTCCAAGATGAACAAGGACAAGTGGTGTGGATGCCCATACCCAATCCATTTGAAGAACATCGCCAAGAGGAAGAATCCAATATTCCTTCATCAGAACCCACATCCGCGCCAAATGCTAATTCTAAAGGTCGTCCGCAAGAAAATACCAGAAGAGCAACCACGGAACCTTCATCACCTCTTTTCGGCGCCGGCGCTCGTCCAGAGGAAGGAAAAGATCTATGGTTCTATCATCTCAAACGACGTGCTCACGAAAAGGGCGAACGTGTGCTTGAACCCCTTCCGGCATACTCTAGCATTGATGAACGTCTAATACCTGGAAACGACCCGAGAGTCGGATGCATTGTGTGCGGAAATAGCACGCACAGAACATTCTGCTGCGACGCCGACGTACCTTTCTGGCAACGTCTAAGACTTGTACTTGAATACCAACTATGTAGAAGATGTGCTGAACCCCATGAAGGAGTCGCCTGTCCATCAACACTGCGATGTTCCAAATGCTGGCGCCGTGATGATCATCCAACTTTCCTTTGTAGATCCACACGTAGGATTGATCAGTGGTCTGATGATGAATCTGATTAATAGTTCCGGAGGACCGGAACTTTTTTTGAAAGGGGTAAGATGTGAAGCGCGAATAAAATTCAAAGTCAAAAGTGCAAGTCACTAGCCATCGGCGGGAGGCGGAGCTTTAGAGAGTCGGAGTTGGAATGGCTCGGCTCTGGAGAGCGGCCTCCTCTCCCCTGTGGCTGCGCGCTTCCCGTCTGGACCCTCGTGAGTGAATGTTGTTTTGAAGTATGTCCTCTGTTATTGTGGTGTTTAATGTGCCTAATCATGTACTTGCTTTGCAATTTCCCATATTCTTTCTTTAATGTGCTTTATATGTTTATTCCGCATTGCTTTTGCTGCTTATAGATAAAGGTGTGGTTAAAAGATTCTTAGTTTTGAAGAGTAGGAACGGAGATGTAAAGGATCGGAGTTGCGTATGAGTATCAACAATGTCGGCGCCCGCTTGCACATAAAATTAAAGTCTACACTTCGGAATCGCGGGCGTTATAGAGGCAACTGGTTGTCCTCAACAGAGGCTACCGATGGTTGTCCTCAACAGAGGGAACCGATGGTTGTCCTCAACAGAGGCAACCGATGGTTGTCCTCAACAGAGGCAACCGATGGTTATCCTCAACAGAGGCAACCGATGGTTGTACCGATGGTTGTCCTCAGCAGAGGCAACCGATGGTTGTACCGATGGTTGTCCTCAACAGAGGCAACCGATGGTTGTCCTCAACAGAGGCTACCGATGGGTATCAACAGAGGCAACCGATGGTTGTCCTCAACAGAGGCAACCGATGGTTGTACCGATGGTTGTCCTCAACAGAGGCAAGCGATGGTTGTCCTCAACAGAGGCTACCGATGGTTGACCTCAACAGAGGCAACCGATGGTTGTACCGATGGTTGTCCTCAACAGAGGCAACCGATGGTTGTCCTCAACAGAGGCAACCGATGGTTGTCCTCAACAGAGGCTACCGATGGTTATCCTCAACAGAGGCTACCGATGGTTATCGTCAACAGAGGCAACCGATGGTTGTCCTCAACAGAGGCAACTGATGGTTGTACCGATGGTTGTCCTCAACAGAGGCAACCGATGGTTGTACCGATGGTTGTCCTCAACAGAGGCAACCGATTCTTGTCCTCAACAGAGGCAACCGATGGTTATCCTCAACAGAGGCAACCGATGGTCGTACCGATGGTTGTCCTCAACAGAGGCAACAGATGGTTGGTACGATGGTTGTCCTCAACAGAGGCAACCGATGGTTATCCTCAACAGAGGCAACCGATGGTTGTACCGATGGTTGTCCTCAATAGAGGCAACTGGTTGTCCTCAACAGAGGCTACCGATGGTTGTCCGCAACAGAGGCAGCCGATGGTTATCCTCAACAGAGGCTACCGATGGTTATCCTCAACAGAGGCAACCGATGGTTGTCCTCAACAGAGGCAACTGGTTGTCCTCAACAGAGGCTACCGATGGTTGTCCTCAACAGAGGGAACCGATGGTTGTCCTCAACAGAGGCAACCGATGGTTGTCCTCAACAGAGGCAACCGATGGTTATCCTCAACAGAGGCAACCGATGGTTGTACCGATGGTTGTCCTCAGCAGAGGCAACCGATGGTTGTACCGATGGTTGTCCTCAACAGAGGCAACCGATGGTTGTCCTCAACAGAGGCTACCGATGGGTATCAACAGAGGCAACCGATGGTTGTCCTCAACAGAGGCAACCGATGGTTGTACCGATGGTTGTCCTCAACAGAGGCAAGCGATGGTTGTCCTCAACAGAGGCTACCGATGGTTGACCTCAACAGAGGCAACCGATGGTTGTACCGATGGTTGTCCTCAACAGAGGCTACCGATGGTTATCCTCAACAGAGGCTACCGATGGTTATCGTCAACAGAGGCAACCGATGGTTGTCCTCAACAGAGGCAACTGATGGTTGTACCGATGGTTGTCCTCAACAGAGGCAACCGATGGTTGTACCGATGGTTGTCCTCAACAGAGGCAACCGATGGTTGTCCTCAACAGAGGCAACCGATGGTTATCCTCAACAGAGGCAACCGATGGTCGTACCGATGGTTGTCCTCAACAGAGGCAACAGATGGTTGGTACGATGGTTGTCCTCAACAGAGGCAACCGATGGTTATCCTCAACAGAGGCAACCAATGGTTGTACCGATGGTTGTCCTCAATAGAGGCAACTGGTTGTCCTCAACAGAGGCTACCGATGGTTGTCCGCAACAGAGGCAGCCGATGGTTATCCTCAACAGAGGCTACCGATGGTTATCCTCAACAGAGGCAACCGATGGTTGTCCTCAACTGAGGCAACTGATGGTTGTACCGATGGTTGTCCTCAACAGAGGCAACCGATGGTTGTACCGATGGTTGTCCTCAACAGAGGCAACCGATGGTTGTCCTCAACAGAGGCAACCGATGGTTATCCTCAACAGAGGCAACCGATGGTCGTACCGATGGTTGTCCTCAACAGAGGCAACCGATGGTTATCCTCAACAGAGGCAACCGATGGTCGTACCGATGGTTGTCCTCAACAGAGGCAACCGATGGTCGTACCGATGGTTGTCCTCAATAGAGGCAACCGATGGTTATCCTCAACAGAGGCAACCGATGGTCGTACCGATGGTTGTCCTCAACAGAGGCAACAGATGGTTGGTACGATGGTTGTCCTCAACAGAGGCAACCGATGGTTATCCTCAACAGAGGCAACCGAGGCAAGCGATGGTTGTCCTCAACAGAGGCTACCGATGGTTGACCTCAACAGAGGCAACCGATGGTTGTACCGATGGTTGTCCTCAACAGAGGCAACCGATGGTTGCCCTCAACAGAGGCAACCGATGGTTGTCCTCAACAGAGGCTACCGATGGTTATCCTCAACAGAGGCTACCGATGGTTATCCTCAACAGAGGCAACCGATTGTTGTCCTCAACTGAGGCAACTGATGGTTGTACCGATGGTTGTCCTCAACAGAGGCAACCGATGGTTGTACCGATGGTTGTCCTCAACAGAGGCAACCGATGGTTGTCCTCAACAGAGGCAACCGATGGTTATCCTCAACAGAGGCAACCGATGGTCGTACCGATGGTTGTCCTCAACAGAGGCAACCGATGGTTATCCTCAACAGAGGCAACCGATGGTCGTACCGATGGTTGTCCTCAACAGAGGCAACAGATGGTTGGTACGATGGTTGTCCTCAACAGAGGCAACCGATGGTTATCCTCAACAGAGGCAACCGATGGTTGTACCGATGGTTGTCCTCAATAGAGGCAACTAGTTGTCCTCAACAGAGGCTACCGATGATTGTCCTCAACAGAGGCAACCGATGGTTATCCTCAACAGATTCAACCGATGGTTGTACCGATGGTTGTCCTCAACAGAGGCAACCGATGGTTGTACCGATGATTGTCCTCAACAGAGGCAACCGATGGTTATCCTCAACAGAGGCAACCGATGGTCGTACCGATGGTTGTCCTCAACAGAGGCAACCGATGGTTGTCCTCAACAGAGGCAACCGATGGTTGTCCTCAACAGAGGCTACCGATGGTTGACCTCAACAGAGGCAACCGATGGTTGTAGCGATGGTTGTCCTCAACAGAGGCAACCGATGGTTGTCCTCAACAGAGGCAACCGATGGTTGTCCTCAACAGAGGCTACCGATGGTTGACCTCAACAGAGGCAACCGATGGTTGTACCGATGGTTGTCCTCAACAGAGGCAACCGATGGTTGTCCTCAACAGAGGCAACCGATGGTTGTCCTCAACAGAGGCAACCGATTGTTGTACCGATGGTTGTCCTCAACAGAGGCTACCGATGGTTATCCTCAACAGAGGCAACCGATGGTTGTCCTCAACAGAGGCTA